ACACACCCCACAAATGAAAATGAACAAATTGGGGAGGGGGGTCGGGACTCGGGAGCTCATGGTTTTTCTAGGTGGAGATGCATGCAAAAATCAAAACAAGAAGATATCTTCTAAACCATTCATCTGGATCACAAACGGTTTCGCCCTTGAATTTCTTGTGTCGATATCGTTCAAACTTTATTCCAATTGTTAGGTTTTGAAAAAATTGATGTGTAAGTACATTTTTCATGCTAGCGTGCGTACTTCTACTATAGTGCATGGTCTTCCAATGTTGGCGTGTATACTTCCCATGTTAGTGGTGTGTACCAACATGGGGCGTGCACATGCCTCAAATTAAAGAAAATACACATGTAAATGCACAGGGTAGTACATATGCTCATATGGAACTACACATATCGCAGAGAAAGTGCACATGTCTCTCCACAATAGTCAGTAGTGTACATGCCCATTAGGAAGTACCCATGCACAGTACCAGATTACATGAGCAAAACTAGAAAGGAAAATGAGTAAAACCGGAAGAACGGGAGAACCCATAGAAACACAAAAAGGAAAAGAGAAAATCGAAGACACGACCTCCTGCGTGGGGCGGGGGTGGGAGTATGTGGACGATGTGTTCTTGCGGGGGCACTAACTCCCCTCCCGAGTTCACTCCGCTACATAGTTTTTTCCTAATTTTGTAGCATGTTACCCAAATTCAAGTTACATATTTTGTGGTAAGCAATGTCCAAATGAAAAGATCTTGCAGTTGGTAGTGCAGTCCATTCTTAATTGGAGTAACTAGTAGGCAAAACTAGCAACCATCTGTTCCAAGGCTTGTGGTTTTTTTACCCATAGAGTTAATATATGGTAGAAGTACATGTATCTAAATAAATTGAAACCACAAAATGTCCTCGCGAGAAAACAGATATACGATGGGGAGGGGGGGCTTCCCTCTAGCTACTACGCGACGCCTAGCCACTCTCACTCAAATTGCTAAAGTACATGGAATTGTGCTCCCCCCCCCCCTCCGCAAATCATATGACTGATGCATTTCTTGTATAAATTTGCACGATTTGAATTTTTTCCTTCAAGTATGAATAGAATTTGTATTTTTTTTTTAAAAACACTAACTTGTACTTGAGTCCTCCCTTGGTACTTAACAAAGAAGAGCATGCCTATCATAAACAATGGTAGCCAAGGTTTTCTTTAGAAGTGAACTAGTGTGTACCCAGTCCTACATGTCTGGGTAAAATCCAAGCTAAGTCAATGAAAGTCCAAGCCAATAGTCATGGTCATCCATTGGTGGAGGAAATAAGAAACAATGACAAAGGGGAGGACCCATGAATAAAGAAACCCATTTAGGCCAAGGGGTGGTGGTCTAGTCCAGAGTACATTGCATAAAACCACCACTTTGAGGGATAGATTTGCGAAAAACACTAGGATATAGATTCGCTGCAGAACGCACCATGTCTAGCGTAATTGTTTTGCAAAAACCACCGATCGGCGGATCGGGCCGTGTTAAGTGAGTTTATGACAGATGGGGCCCGTTTTTATCCTACGTGGCACTCCAGGCCATCCTGACAGCTGGCAGGCGGCGTTAGACGATGCGTTAGGTCTTGTGTTTAGTCATCCCCGCATCCATCTCTTTTTCCACATTCTTCTTCCCCCTCCCCTTGCTCCCGCTGCCGTCGCCCCCTTGCCCCTCGCATTGCAGAGATGCGTAGTCCGGCGAAAGGTGGAGTTGCTGGTGGCGGCGCTCCGCCCGGCAGCGCCGCACGCATCGTAGGTAGTGGAGGAGGACCAGTAGTTGATCCAGGCGAGCTTTGCGGGAGCTCGAACCCTAGCAAGCCGACGGAGGAATCGGAGGAGAAGGACCCGCAATATTCGATGGAATACCGGGCGGCGAGAGCATTCGCCGCGGCGGTGAAGGCCAATCCGACGGGAAGCCAGCACATCAGGTCATCCTACGGCGGTGTCTAGTGAGATCCACTTTTCTTTGCTCTCCCCCTTCCTGTTCTCCATTCAATTGCGTTGCTAGTGTACTCCTAGGATTAGTGTTCATATTGCTCTATCATATCGGATGGAGTAGATGTTGTGGGTTTGTTGTCATGTGCTCTAGGGTTGACAATATTTATATTAGTTCAGATGTTGTGATTTGTTTGTTATGTGCCCTAGGGTTGACATTTTTAGATTAGTTTAGAAATAAGCTGATTTAGTTGATTTTATAAACGAGCAACAAAGTTATCCTGATATAGTATATGATTATGATACTATTAACTTAGAAAAATGCATGTTTGTGCTGTGTTATTCAGTTTATTTTAGGTACACTGTTAATTGGAGTGAAGTTAGACATTTGGTTAGGTTCACTGTTAAATGAGTTATCCTGTTATTTGCTTTATAAGTGACAAAGGATTGTATTAGTGCAATAACATGAGCTGTTTCATTAGTGTTATTCAGTTATAATTAAGCACTTATACTGCTATGTATTTTATATTTTTTGCAGTCTGTATGATGAGGTTTGGGAATTGAGGATGCATTTCCATGACAGAGACAATATTGAGAGATCGATGATGATGTTAGACATAACATTTTACAACCTAGTAGCACTGATAGAAACAGAAGGTTATGGATTTAAAGATTACATGTACTATGTCAGGGATCCTAGGCTAGGGATAGAAGGAATGGAAGAAATAGATGATGATGACAAGCTTGAGGAAATTCTAGACAACATAGCATTACAAAATCAAAAGATATTGAATGTGACAGTTGTTAGGGCCAGTTCTCCCAATGCTGCAAGTATAAATACCAGCTCCAATGTTATTGAGCAGCAAATCCCTCTAGAAGAAATTGGAGAGCCCAAACTGTATCAGATAGATGAAGAAGGAGTGTTGTTCAGTGCAGGAAATGTGCATGTAGCAGCAGCAAGTTCAGAAGCAGCAGAAGTGGAGCCAATGCCCATACAGTTTCAAACACAGCATATCACAAACAATTTGGAGGAGCAACTTGCTTTAGGTTATGTACAAGTGGAAGAAAATCCTGTAAACAATTCAGAGGACCAAATGGAAATTGAAAAGGTTATGGAGGAGACAAGGAGGAAGGAAATTGAAATGTTTATGAAGAATAAGAAAAACAAAGAGAAGGACACTTCTTTTAAGAGAAAAGCTGCAGTGATGGATAATGAGGAGGACAGTGATGATGATAATTTGGAAGAGTATGGTGATATCCTTGCTAGGCTTGATGAGATGAAAAGACAGAGGGAAGATCCACTCCTTCATTTTGAAGGGGACACATATGTTGAGGAAATGTATGAGACAGAGGAGGAGGAGGAGGATGCACTATATGAGCCTGAAAGTGAAGAAGAGGATGCAGATGAGGAAGAGGATGAGGAAGAGGAACAAGAGGAGCGGGTAGGGCAAGATGGACAGAAGAAGAAAAGGGAGAAGAAACATAGAAAAGGCCCAACAAGCAGATCACATGCAAGTGTAGAGGAGTTGTTTGAGGAGGACTGGATACCATCATCTGATGAAGACAGGAAACCAATGGACTTGGGTGTGGAAGATGATGATGGTGAAAGGCATTGGCATATGTTTTGCCCAATGGGAGGAAAAGCAGAGCTAAAAAGATGAAGAAAAGGATATGGCATGCTGAGAAGAGAGTTCACCCAGATGAGCAATTTGTGAAGCATCTTTGCTTCCTTGATGTGTACCAGTTTAGGAATGCACTTCAAACAATGCACATTGCACAAAACAGGAACTATGAGTACCGTAGAAATTGCAGTGACAGGGTTATAGCACAATGCATAGATGAGACATGCCCTTTTTATGTAGCAGCTTCTCAAATTGCAAATGAGAAAACATTTACCATAAGGAAGCAGTATTTGGTGCACACTTGCCCTTCTGTGTCAGAGAACACAAAAGTTACTGCTAGGTGGGTTGCAAATTTTTGTGAGGAAGCAATCAGAAATGACACATGCACAACAATCACTACTATAATTAACATTGCAAAGAGCAAGTATGGAGTGGAAATATCAACCCACATGGCATACATGGCTAGGAAGGCAGCAAAGAATGTTGTGCTAGGAGATCAGAAGGCCCAATACACTAGGATTATGGATTATTTGCAGGCTGTGCTAGATACTAATCCAAGTTCAAGGTGTATAGTGACAACAAGGTATCTGAGGGATGATACGTCTCCAACGTATCTAT